ACCACTTGCTTTGATGTTTCCTGGGCAAGCAAGTTGCTTGTTCTTGTAGTAACAGTCAGTCTACCTATGTTGTTTTATATTTTTCCTGTAGTTCTTTCTTTCATGAAATATCTTCTGTTCTTCTAGCCACTCCAGGCTGGTCTGCTTGTCCTTTCAAGTGGGAAGTTCCCATCTCTACCATCCAGTTCTTTTGTTCTCTGACAAAGGAGGCTTTAATTCATGGAGGCAGTTATACCTGCATGCGGTCCACTTCTTTCTCTGATTCCTGGGCCTTCTTTGCTGTTCCAGGTGAGTAATGATCAATTGTATCTTAGATGGCCACTAGCAAGCTTTAAGACTCCAGACACTATTCACTGAGCTAGGGATAGAAGAAAAACTTTAAAAACAATATTTGAGCAATTCACTGGACAATCCCCTGTAACTCCACTTGATAATCTGTAGAATAAAGTCTGCATTCCCTGACAGATTCCTCACAATTGGATGCTCATCTCTACATCTCCCACTTCATCTCAGCTCACTTGCTCCTCTCTCCAGCCAGAGCTTCAGCCACAAGGAGTGTCCCACCATCCCTGAACATGGTTCACCTCTTCACGAATTGCTTGTCTTTCTCCCTAAAGTCTTCTGTCTAGTGGCAAGTTTCTCACTCTTCACATCCAATTCAGATGTCACCTCCTCCAGGTAGATGTATTTGGTCCTTCTCTGTGTTCCTACACACTTCTCCTACCATCTGATGACACATTAATCTTTTAGACTCAAAGGGAATTCTTGGTGGCCATGATGTATCTCATACCTGGCAAGGCCTAGAACAAAGCTGTGTACATAGAAGGTGGTGAAAAAATGCCTGTTCTCTCCAGAGTGCCTCTGAGACTCAACAGCCCTCCAGTGTGTTTCTGACCTTCTCTTACCCCCTGAATCATCTTCCTGAAGCTGTTGGTTTTCTCATGTTCAGTCCATGGAACTTTAGCTTTCTTCCAGAATGTCTGTGATTCCTCTCTTTCCCAATCCACAGTACCTCTAGAGTGCCTGTGTCCTTCTGCCATACCAGGAGGGAGGCTTTGAGTCCTCGTTGCCTCCCTTGACTGTCTGTGATACTCTCACTAATCTCTTTAGGTGGCATTTCTCAAAGTGGTGTCTCAAATTGCCTGCATCAGAGGTTTTATCTGTTCCAGAGCACCGTATACCCACTCCTGTTCAGAAAGAGTACTAGTTCCCTCAGACATATACCATAGTAGGAGAAGCTTGGGACATGCTGCAAAGCAACCTACCTCCTGCAGAATCCATTTAATTTGTATGGTGATGCCAGGAAACTGATTTCTGCAGGGGAGGCCTTTATTTGTCCTCCATACACATGAACATTCCAGCAGTTTCCCCTTATCACCGGTTTCTTACTGCCTGGGAGCACTTTGTTTCCTACTTTTATTTTAATTGAGATGGCATCTGTCATGCACTTAGCAATGCCTGGCACTTAGGGTCGCTTGGTCCCTAATAGTGTCTGCCCTGCTTTATTCCCCTCTCTGCCTGTGATCCCTTTTGCTTTCCTTTGTGGATCTCTGACAACTCCTCTTCTCCCTACAGGGGGGGTTCTCTATGCTGCCACTGTGAAAAACTACCTGGGGACAGAGCCGATTATCTCCAGGGCTGTGGGTCGTGCTGAGGACTGGATTCGGACAGAGACCTTGCCGTCCTGGCTTAACGGTGGGACGGGGAGAGGGATCCTCTGGGGGGCAGGAGGGGTGGAGGCCGGGCGGCCCCAGGATGTGTCTGTGCGGATCTGAGGCCGCCGGTCTCCCCAGCCCCAGCCTTTGTCGCAGCCGTGGCCTTGAGCCCAGCCGAGTGGGGGGAAGAAGATGGAGACGACGAAATCTACTTCTTCTTTACGGAGACTTCCCGGGCATTTGACTCATACGAGCGAATTAAGGTTCCGCGGGTGGCCCGCGTGTGTGCGGTGAGACCCTGATCCCAGTTGTGTGTTGGCTCCTGCTCTCACTCTTGTCCTGTCTCTCCTTTCTGGGTCTTTTTATCTCTCCTCTGTCTCCCTTTTTTTCTCTGCCTTGGCTTCTTTTCAGGGAGCTTGAGAAATATGAAGAGGGGCTCTGGCCTCTTTGACTCCCATGATTAACCTCATAATACACTGTTCCCAGGAGGTGGCCTAGTGTAAAGACTATAGGCGGGAACTGGTGACAGGCAGACCTGGGTTCAAGTTTCTGCTCCACCACATACTTCCTGTATGACTTTGGGCAGGCTTTTTGACATCTCTGAACCTCAACTGTAAAATGAGGGTACTAATTATGCCTATCTACAAGGGTTATTAAGGAGCTCTGGTAGCGTAGTGGTTATGAATTGGGTTGCTATCCTCAGGGTCAGCAGTTCGAAACTACCAGCTGTTCCACGGGAGAAAGATGAGGCTTTCTGCTCCCTTAAAGATTTACAGCCTCGGAAACCCTGTACAGGGTCGCTATGAGTTAGAACTGACTCCACGACACATAACAACAACAACAACAAGGGTTATTTAGAGGACTAAATGAGGAAACTCATGTAAAGCATACACACAGTACTCTACAAGCGCACAATTTTAGCTTAGTCTCCATGTTTTCTAGTGTGCCCTTTCACCTTGTTATCAAAATCCTGTATCTCATTCTCCCCCTCAGTTACTCTGTGTCTCTGCTCTTGCAGTTCCTCTGTATCTGCCTTCTTATCTGCTTGTCTGTGTCTGTCCTTTAAGTCAGGGAGGAAACATGTTGGTTTCTATACTCCTCCCACAATGTTGGTCTTCTAACGAGAAATTTCCATGCACTTGTCACTCCAGGGGGACCTTGGGGGCAGGAAAACCCTCCAACAGAGGTGGACAACATTTCTGAAGGCTGACCTGTTGTGTCCAGGGCCTGAACATGGCCGGGCCTCCAGTGTCCTACAGGACATGGCCATTCTTCGACCTGAGCATGGAGCAAGGACACCTGTCTTTTATGGCATCTTTTCTGCCCAGTGGTGAGGGGGTCCTGGTATAGAGGAGAGTTGCAGGGTGGGAGATATGTGGGATTGACACATTGTCAATAGTGTCTTACCAGAGAGGGAGACCTTTCCATTCCATGATGGCATGCCTCCTTGTGTATTTCTCATGGGTCATCTCATTTGACAAGGGATGAGTTGTTTTCCCCTAACTACCTCCAAATATCTGGTTTCAACCTGTCATTTTTCCAGGGAGGGAGCTGCCATCTCTGCTGTCTGTGCCTTCCGACCACAAGACATTCAAACAGTTCTAAATGGTCCCTTCAGAGAACTAAAACATGACTGCAACAGGGGACTGCCTGTCTTGGACAATGATGTGCCCCAGCCCAGACCTGGAGAGGTAAAAGTGCTGGGCCATCTCCTCATCCTCAGGCCTGAGATACAGAGCATCATGAGAGCCAGAGCCCGCCTAAGCATCACTGATGCTTCCTGGCTCCCAGGAAGCTTTGTTACCCATTCCTGTGTTTCCTCTAGTGCATCACCAACAACATGAAGCTCCAGCAGTTTGGCTCGTCTCTCTCCCTGCCTGACCGTGTGCTCACTTTCATCCGGGACCACCCACTCATGGACAAGCCAGTGTTTCCAGCTGATGGTCACCCCCTGCTGGTTACTACAGATACAGTGTATATCAGAGTTGTGGCCCACACGGTGACCAGTCTCTCAGGGAAGGACTACGATGTGCTCTACCTGGGAACAGGTGTATTTAATAGTCCAACAATACTCAATGCAGACATAATCTTGCTGGATGTCAGCATCCTAGACTCAAGTGCAGTGAGGTCATTATGCACCTCTCCCTTTCCTGCCTCCTAGAGGATGGGCATCTCCACCGAGCTGTGCAGATTGGAGCCCATCTCAGTGTCCTTGAGGATCTGGCCTTATTCTCAGAGCCACAGCCAATTGAGAACATGCAGTTGTACCAAGTGAGTTATATATTTGGGGCTCTTGGTAGGGACACATCTGAGTCCAGAGTTAGTCCCTGAGGTCTGGGAGATCCTGTGTATTCCTCTTACCTGCTTCCTCTCTCTAGGGCTGGCTCCTGGTTGGCTCCCAAACTGAGGTGACACAAGTGAACACAACCAACTGTGGACGTCTCCAAAGCTGCTCAGAGTGCATCCTAGCCCAAGACCCTGTCTGTGCCTGGAGCTTCCGACTGGGGGCTTGTGTGCCCCATACCATGGAGCATGGAGGGTGAGTGTAGCTTCACTGGTCTCTGGCCTGCTGTCCAAGGGCTCTGCTCCATCCATATATCTGTGTCTGCTTCTCATTCATTAGTTAAGGATGCATTGTGGTTTGTTTATCTCCTGTTTTTTAGTCACTTGTGTGTTTTGTCACTTGTGTGTTCATCTGTCAGTCCATACTAACTCATCTGTGTATCCATCTTGTGCCATCTCATCATTGTCCTGCCATTCTGCTGGATCTGCTCTCGACTTCCATCTTACCAACCAGTGCACACTTTTCAGTTTTCATCCTACAAAGTATTTGAATTGTTGAATGTAAAATTGATGATCTAAAATCACTCAATTCACGCACACACATACACAGAGTACATCAGGAAATCCTCATTTCCCCACTTGTTTGGCAGAATTGGGATTTTGTCTAAGCTTTCCCCATTTTAGAGGCCCAACTAAAATCTCCATGTTATTTTAATTTTATTATGTTGATTATTGGACAGGTTGATTTTCCTGCTCATGTGTTTTGTTCTTTTGTCTCTGATATATGAGTGTTGGTAATCTATTATTTCTGTACCATCAATGCTATCTGTTCAGCAACTCTGCTTTTTAATCTATTAGCTCTGTCCTGTGTATGCCACCTATATATATTTCTGTATATTGTTTATGGACTATTACGATGCTTGGCTTATTGTACACTGACTACGCTGTCAGTGTATCTGTCGGTTGGCTAGCCCTCATTTGAGGTAATTACTAGGTCTTTTTTATTTTTGTTGTAGTGATGGTTTGATGGTGTATACATATATCAAAAATCATCAAATATACTATATACTTTAAATATGTACAGCACATATGTTACTTAACATCCCTCAATATAATTCTTTTTTTTTTTTTAAGGTTTTTATTATGGATTGAGTGAAAGTATACAAGGCAGATCATCAGTTTTACATTCAACAAATAACACCACGTTTCATTACAATGATTACAATTACTTCCATGTACCATAAGTTAACAGTATTTCTCTCTATCCACTTTAGCTTTATAAAAACAAAAAACCACTCAGGCATATATATGATAATTTACACCTCCATAGGGCACATTCTGCAAGTCTGCCTCCTAGCCACCAGCTCTTAGTCTCTCTCTTCCCATGAATCTAGAATCTTCAACCACTCCCCCTCTCCATGATCTCATCTCTGCTTCCATCTCTGGCAACGCTGCTTCTCTGGATAAGATACCGCATTCTGCTTGTGCTCTTCTCCCTTGATAGTTCTAGGGTCCTCTGTTTCTGGACTGTAAGATTAACCACTCCCCTGTTTATGTTACAAAACCTTCTACCTTTACAATTGTGACAGTCGCAATTAATCATGAAAACAGTTATTCACTATTGAATCATATGAATCTTATTCCCATCTCTTTACCAGACCCATCTAGACAAGATGAAAACTATTCAGTGGGGACTTTTTCTCCCCAACCCCCTAATCTTAAACTAAACTCCCCCTTGAAACCTTGTAAGCCAGTCACTTCATGCCTTTATTGCCCCCTCATTTTAAGTAGCCAATGTCTAAGTTGCCTGTCCCTATCTTCCCTGTGTACAGAGGGGATAGCACTGATACTTGATGTGAAGACTCCTTCCCTCTCTGTTGGTATTTAGAGTTACTACCTCCATGAGTATAGGTCAGGTTCTCAAATTGTAACAATTTACCCTTGTTTCCTTGGTCGAAAAAAAAATTATTATTTTTTTAATCTTCCTCTAGTCGAGTTCTGATTATCAAGCCATCAAGGCTAGATCAAATGAGTACTGTCTGCAAGTTTGGATGTTCTTATGCATCTCCTTTCACTTCATATCAGCTGGATGTTTCACTATCAGCTCTAGCCCTCTGTGGCTATGTCCTTGTCCATGGGCTCAAGTGACCCCAGGTCTCACCACACTTGGGACCAACCAGCTTTTCCTCTTCTCTCTCTCATCTCCAGATCAACAGGAGTCAATGGACTGTGGTTGAACTCAGCCCATTTCTTCATTGCTGCCTTTCCTCTTCTTCCACTCAACAGTACACCAGTGTGGTCGCCAGCAATATTACATGCCTGTTCGTGTGTTCCCTTTGAGTTTCAGTCTTAGAGGGGAGTTTGTCCTGAAGGAATTTAATTGCTTACCTTGATGGCTTCCTGGCGAACAGCTTGCTTATTCTTGTAGTAGTCAGTCATGGTGACATTTTTGTTTGGGTGTTTCCTGATGATCTTTCTTTTAAAATGTATGTTCTGTTGCTCTAGCTGTTCCAGGCTGGTCTGCTTGTCCGTATTAGTGGGAATGTCCCACCTCATAAGGTTCTGGATGGGACTCAGGATTCCACTTAAGGTCCTATACTCTGCAAAGGCTCCGCAAGAGACCTATTTCACTGGGCAAGTTTTAGAACCCCTTTTATGTATTCTAATCAGTTATAGGCTGAAGATAGGCTTACAAGTTTTCTGTAATCATGTTTTCCAACATTTCTTTCTATCTCATTCAAGTGTCTATTTTACCAGTGAAACCAATATTCATAAGACAGTCAAGCATTTTAATATTATTTCCCCTCTTCAAATTGTGCCTAGATCCCTGTATCCCAGAGCCTTGTTGTTCCAAGGTTGAACATGCATCACTATTTACCTCTGTCCTACTTAGGCCATGCAAACGTGTCTCAGTGTTCTCCTATCTATCTTGTTCTTCCACTTCCTCCCCCTTCTTGTATGTCCTCCCTAACACCTGAACTAACCCCCCACCCCAACCCCACTGTTGTGGTTACCTTATATTCCATTAACTCTTCCCTCCATTTAAAACAGTTTATTTTATCCTATAATCTACCTGACCTTCCCACCACCTGGATCTCTGTTCCTCTGTGTTTACCTTCGTTCACATTGTAATTGTTTTGATCGTAGACTGATCATCCAGATCCTCTGTTTTTATAATTTTATTCTGTTCTTAACTCTTACATTTGTCAATTGAGTTCATTATGATGCTGCCACGTATGTCATTCTCTGGTTGTTGTGTGTTCTTGTTGGTTCTCAGTCCACAGAACTTCCTTAAAGATGTTTTTCATAGCAGGGTTGGCTTTAGCAAAATCCCTTAGCTTCTGTTTATCCTGGAATGTTTTGATTACGCCTTTGTATTTAATTGACAGCTTTTCTGGTTAGAGGATTCTTGGTTGGAAGTTTTTTCTTTCAGGGTTTTATATATGTCTGTCTCCCCATTGCCTTCTTGCCTACATAGGGTCTGTTGAGATATCTGAGCTTAATCTGATTTGCATGCCTATGTATTTTACACTTCTCTTTTCCCTAGCTGCTTTCAGGATTCTGTCTTTATCTTTGATTTTGGAGAGCTTGATTATTATATGTCTTGTTGATTATCTTTTAGGGTCTATCCTTCGTGGGGTTCATTGAGCTTCTTGAATGCTTATCTTTTCACTTTTCAGGATGTTAGAGAAATTTTCTTCCAGAAGCTCTTCAATTACATATAGGATGTGTGTTATTCTGCCTGTTCTAGTATGCCAATAATAATTATGTTATTCCTCTTCATGTTATCCAACATGAATCTTAGGCCTTCTTCAGATTTTTTTATCCTTTTTGGCTTGCTCTTCTATCTTAGTAATGTTGAGAGATTTATCTTCTAGCTCACTAGTTCTGGCTTCTATCTCTTCAGTTCTACTCCTTTGCCCATTCAATGTATTGCCCATTTCTGATATTCTATTGTTAATCGTTTGGACCTCTGTCTATAGGTTTTGAATTGTTTCCAGTGCTGTATCCATCTTGCAGTATCCATTCATTGTTCCTGTAGTGCTTTCTGACTTTTTCTTTGTTTTTCTCAACTCTATTGTACAGTGTTTTTGATACATTTTATAATCATTTTTATGAACTCCATCTCAGGCATTTCCAAAGCCTGGCCATCTTCCATGGAGTGTAGGTCTACTTCCAGCTCATTTGCCTCAGTCACTTTATCTCATTTCTGGTCATGTGCCGATATGGTCATCTGTTTCTGTTTTTTTGGGAATATTCAGGAGTTATCTATGGCCTTAATACTTAGATGAGTGTGTGTTTTGGTATTTTTTTATGCTTTCTGATTGTCTGCAGGTAGATGTGATCAGGAGATGGGCTTCCCTTTTCACTCCTGTTCCTGAGAAATTTCAAGAAATTGGTCATTATGATGTAACTCAGGATTTATTTTTCAGCCTATTTCCTTTTTCGTCTGCCTGTCCCACTCCACAATCCCCGTTCAGGCCTTTTTCCTAGTGATAAACAATTCAGGGCCAGCATTGGCCGTTTTGCACTGCTGTTTGGTTGTAAGTGGAAACTGTCACTTTAAATTTCAAGGAGATCTGTGCGCATGCATAATAGAGCACTCTGGGGGTGGAGGTGGGGTGTTTACTTGCTCAGGCACCCCCTCTAGACTCCAGAATGGAGGTGCACAGACAGTGAGAGACCAATGACTAGATACCGAAAAAAGAGGGTATCCACACCTTTATCTCCATGGTTCTGTCAGGCATCTGTGGCTGCTCTGATCCTTCCCCAGCTTGGTCTCACCCAAGATGGTGGCTCTGGGAGCAGCTGAGTGTCTTCAATTAGAAAGCAATGGATTTCTTGCTTTTGCTACAAATCCCTCTAGCTGTAAGTCTTCCAACCTTATAAATATTCCTTTATATGTGGTTCAGAGTTCTGGGACCAGCTCCTGAGCCTGCTTGGTCGGGTATTCTGTGTTGTTGTTGGCGGAGCTCTCTGCTATACATCCACCCGATCCGCCATCTTGTTTGTTTTCCTCAGTATAATTCTTAAACAAAGACTGGACACCTCCCTCTCATCCTCCCACCCACAAAAAGGACACAAAGATTCTTTAAAAAATTAAATTTCATAAATATGCATACATATACATAATCACTTAATTTACCAATATACTTTTTCCTACTTCTATTGATTAAGACAGACAGTTTCCTAGGAGGAAGAAATGCTGTTTTCTAGTTTAGTTATACGCTGTATTTTTATTACCTCTTAAACTTCAAGTATTTAATATGAAAACTCCCAAATCTTTAACAAATTTTTAGAAAGGCAGAATCCAATGTGTGTGTGGTTTTATAAATAAAAGACGAGGCAGAATAATTTAAATCCCTTTTTCTCAATTGGTCATTCTTGGGCCAGGATTCAAAATGACTTCCTTTTGATTCAGATTAGCCTGAGAGAAACTACGTGACTCTCTATAGAGTTTCTGGTGTGTTGTCTTAGCAATGGAGGATTTGAGCTTTTCTGCTGGTATGTGAAGCTATTTCAGAAAACAAAATTTCTGGTTAAAATACTTTTTAATTCATAATAACATCTTAGTTTTACCCTGATAAATTGAAAAAGATTTAAAATTTTATACTTTTAGTCAAAACCTGTTCATAGGTATTCATTTTTTAAAATCAAATTTTATTAATAAATACAGTTATCAGTGAAAAAGTTGTATTCTCAATGAATTTTTAACTTTCATTAAAAATTTTTATTGTGGTGAAATATATAGAATAAATCATAGACCACTTCAGCAATTCTAATGCAAAAATTGTAAATATTTTCTTATGGAAAATTTTAAACATACTAAAATAAGGAGTATAGTATATTGAAGCCTCATATGCCCGTCACCCAGCTTCAACAGTTAGTAACTTGTGGCCAATCCTCTTTCATCCATAATTGACTCCCCTCCTTTATATTATTTTGAAGCAAATCCCTGACATCTTACTCATCTTAAAAAATAATTTGTTAGGGGAAAATTCAAACATATTTTAAAGTAGAGAGAATAGCATACTGAATTTCTTTCTTTCTTTTTTTCCTTAAAAACTGTGTACCATTTTATTCTGAAAAAACAAATCTCTGTGTGTGACATTAGTCATGATTGCTCCTCAGTATCTGCTATCTCTTTCTTCCTCAGTAATGGAATCCCCAAATTTTAGCGGGCCTAAAATAATTTCCATTTCACAACTTTTCTTACCTCTAGATGTTACCATATGAATTAGTTTCCTGTGGCTGCTGTAACAAATTATGACAAGCTTGAAAATACAGCACAAATTTATTCTATGATAGTTATGGAAACCGATAGTCCTAAATCCATTTTACTGGTCTAAAATCAAGGTTTCAGCAGGACTGGTTCTACTGGAATGCTTTAGAGTACGATTTTTTCCCTTGCCTTTTCTAGTAATGCCCTTCTTTGCATCACTGTAACTTCTTACTCCCATTGTCAAATTTCCTACTTTTTTTCTGATCATGTGCCTCCTTGTTATAAGGAATCCTGTGATTACCATACAGTAAGTACTGAACTGAAAACCATAAGGTCTGAGGTTCGAACCTGCCAGCCACTCAGTGGGAGAAAGGTGAGCCTTTCTGCTCCCGTGAAGGTATAAAGTCTCAGAAACTCTATACAAGGTTGATCTGAATCAGAATCTACTCAACTGCAATTAACAACAACAGCCACTCACATAATTCCTTCATTTTAAGAGTCTTAATGACATCAACAGTAATTTCTTTTGCCATATAAGATAATATTCACAAGTTCTGGGGATTCAGATGTTGACATATTTGGAAGCTATTGTTCAGTTTCCATACTGTTTTATAAGTAGAAGTATTGTATGGCAGATTTGGAATAATTTTCCTAAAAGAGAGTTATTAATGCCTTCCCTTTCTTTCTGCCTCCTTCTTGTTACTTGGAACATGTGTATTATGACTGGAACACCCTCCTAGGCCCTGAGATTGACAGTTACACTTAAGACTGGTGGAGCAGAAAGCTGGAAGTAGCTTGGACTACACAGAGAAGTGGAGCCATTGCAATTGCATGCTAATACGAGATAGAAATAAGTTCCTGTTTTTTTTTTTTACGATTAGACTATATATATACTATTTATTTTTCAGTTGGAGTTAAGGTGAAAGTGTACTGAGTAAGTTAGTTTTCCGTTCGGTAATTTGTTTATATTTTGTTTCATGGCATTGGTCGCAGTTGCAATTGGTTGATAAATTTCTTGAGTGGTTTTAAATCTTTATGCTTTTAATTGATTGCTTGGAAAATATCTTTTAAACAGACTGTGAGATTTCTTGTTTTGAACCCCAGTCAATTTGAAGGTTGCAAATCTTTTAGAGGTAAAAATACTTGTCTTTGGGAATAAAATAGATTAGTTCCCACATATTTAAAACCGAGTAGATTTTAAATGATAACTGACACATGAGTAATCATAAAACTTAATTTTGTCTTTTTAATATTCATTTAAATTGTTGAGTATAAGATTTTGTACCATCTCCTTCTTAGATTCTTGACTTCTAATCAGTAGCTATTAGATAGCAGGTTTGGCCAGCTTCACATTTTTGGTTAAGAATTCTGACCTGGTCTTCTAGTTTCTCTTGGGAAAACTTTTAAATATCAAGGACAAAAGCAAGTACTTTATTGTTTCCTTTATTTTAATATCCATTAAAATAATCATTAGAATAGGGTATTCTATGTTCTTATGCTTCATGATTACCCTTACAACATATGAGGAGGCTCTGTATCTACAAGGCAACCTATACATTGGGTACCTAAAATGAGGGGGTGATAGAGGCACAAAGTGACTGGCTTATAAGGTTTCAAGATGGAGTTTAGTTTAAGAGTGTGTGGGGGAAGATAGAGTCCCCACTGAATAGTTTTCATCTTGTCTACATGGATCTGGTAAAAAGAGGTGGGGATAAGATTCTTATGATTCAATAGTGAGGAATTGTTATCATGACTAATTGCTATTGTCATAACTGTAAAGGTAGAAGTTTTGTAACAAAACTCCTGGGGCAGTAGTTAATCTTACAGTTCAGAAACAGAGGACCCTAGGACCATCAAGGGAGATGAGCACAAGCGGAATATGGGACCTTGTTCAGAGAAGCAGCTACACCAGAGATGGAGGTGGAGATGTGGACATGGAGAGAGGGAGCAGCTGAGGACTCTAGATTCATGGGAAGAGAGGGACTAAGAGCTGGTGGCCAGGAGGCAGAACTGCAGAATGTGCCCTTTGGTGGCATAGATTATTATATATGCCTGAGTGTTAAAAGAAAAAAGAAAAGAACTAAAATGAATACAGAGAAATACTATTAACTGATGGTACATGGACGGGATTATAATCATTGTAATGAAACAAAGTGTATGATTTGTTAAATATAAAACTGATGATCTGCCCTGTAAACTTTCACTCAATTCACAATAAAACACTTAATATATATGTGTGTGTATATATATGTATATATGAGGGGGCTTCAAAAAGTTCATGGAAAAATAGAATTAAAAGAAAATGGAATTTTATCATGAACTGTTTGAACTCCACTCTTGTGTGGGGTGTATGTTTGTGCCAGTGACCAGTGACCTGGATTGATACTTGTGTATAGTCCATCCTTTATACTTCAGTTCATACAAGGAAGGAAAACATATTTCAACTTTGAAGTTCCTGTGGCCACATGTGGTCTTTTCATGTTTCCTAAACCAGCTAGACTAGTCTACCTTGGTTTTACCCACTAAACTTCCATCCATTTATTCCAGCCTCATTTGTATCAGGAAGGAGTTGACCCTCACTCTAAGTCTATCTTCAGTTAAGGTTTTCATGTGTTCAGACTGAACCTCTTCACTGACAGCCCCAGTAGAGGCATCCAAAGGCTCCTTCTTCCTCTGGGAGTGGTTTCAGGGCATTCCTCAGCAAGCAAGTCTATCTTGTTATTCCTCAGTCAGTCCTATTATACCCAAATGCTGGAAGCATGAGGACTGTGTTGTATCTGAAATAGCAAATCTGTTAGAAGCCAAGATTGATCCACAGTACTGAAGTGAGAGAGTCCCCATGTAGTCTATGTCTGGGGATATCAGTGAGACAATCAACTTCTACAGAGGTTTGCTCTTTCTCTTAAATAACAGGAAAAAAAAAGAAATGTCACTGTAATTTTTTTTTTTTCTTAGAAATATTGTGGTTGTATACAACCAATTAATTATATTTCCTGGAAAGTTCTCATCCTTCTTTAAAGGTATTCAGACCTAGTGCAAGTCTAGTTAGCTATGGGATATTAGAAATACTTGCAGAATTTGACAAGGTAAATGCCATGAGGAGTGTGAGAGACAATTGTGTTTGATTGGTGGAGAATTTGGTCAGTAATTCTGGGAGTGGTTTATGAGCTAATGGGGAAAGTAATGAATGAGTGCGTGTTCAGCAACACTGAGGATTATAGGGGAAATGTTGACACTGGATTTGCCAAATCTTCTCTTTATAGGCTGGTGCAAGGCATGGAGTCAGCGGACGTCTCCTCTTTGTGTCCCAAGGAGCCTGGAGGTCTGTATGGTTTAGGGAAATGTGGGTGGAATATGTGAAAAGGGCTAGAAAGTTGTCCATTTGGCACCTGCTTTGAAACTTAGGTCCTGAGGTATGACAGCTAATGAGCCAGGGTCTTACCCTCATTGGGAATCCTTTTTTGGCTTTGTCCCCATTCGGTTCCTTCTCATGTCTAGTATCACTCCATATTTTTTCTTGTCACACCTCAGCCTGTATCCTTACCACCTTTTGTGACTTTAATGTTTCCCTACAGAACACCCAGTAGTGTTTGAAGTTCCTGTGGCAACAGCTTCACATGTGGTCTTGCCATGTTCCCCAAGCTCAGCATGGGCATCTTGTGTGTGGCATCAGCCTGGTGGAGTGACTACACTTACCCCCCGGCGGGATGGGCTGGAGGTGGTGGTGACTCCAGGGGCCATGGGTGCCTATGCCTGTGAATGTCAGGAGGGTGGGGCAGCACGAGTAGTAGCAGCTTACAGCTTGGTATGGGAGAGCCAGCGTACACCCCTAAGCCGGGCCCACACAGTGGGAGCTGGGCTGGCTGGCTTCTTGCTGGGGGTTCTTACAGCATCCCTGACTCTCCTACTGATTGGTCGGCGTCAGCAGCGACGACAGCAGAGGGAACTCCTGGCACGAGACAAGGTGGGCTTGGACCTGGGGGCCCCACAGTCTGGGACCACAAGCTACAGCCAGGACCCTCCCTCCCCATCTCCTGAGGATGAACGACTGCCCCTGGCCCTGGCCAAGAAGGGCAGTGGCTTTGGTGGCTTTCCTCCACCTTTTCTGCTTGATCCTTGCCCAAGCCCAGCCCACATTCGGCTAACTGGGGCTCCTCTAGCCACGTGTGATGAAACATCCATCTAGAGATTCATAAACGACCACTAGTACCTGGTGATCACTGGAATGGAGTGACCTCTGAGGTGTGGGCGTCACTGGGCCTGGACAACCATCAGGGCCTCTGAGTACTCTTTGAGTCTAAGTGATCTCTTGGATTTCAGTATCTGCCCTCTTTGGGCTTGGAAGGGCTAATGTCCAAGTCAGGCCTTTGATTCCTGATTCTCATGGGTTCACAGCTGCTGCTCTGCAGCCAATCTGGGCTTTTCCAAACCCTGCCCTCTGGATTCCTGTGGTCCCTTCAGCCTTAGATCCATTCGTTTTGGGGATAGGACACAAGACATAGTTATGACTTCAGCTTCTGGTTGGGCCTTAGCCAGAAGGAGAAGCCATAGAGATGTTTGGGGTTAATGTGCACTGAGTCCTCAGGTGGTTTTGCTGATGCTCCCAGTTTATCTGACTCTGGGGAGTGCATGGTCCCCACGTTGCAACATGTAATCTCTGCCCTGAGATCTCCCATCCTGATGCTCCTTTCATGAAAGAGTGTGTGTAAATCCATGGGCATTCACAGGAGGCCTGGCTATGTGTGCATGGATGTTTCTAAAAGGAAACAAATTACTACCCGTCTCTAAGGCCCCCTACAGACCTTCTCTAAATTGAGTAGAGAAAAGCTCCTGAAGTGAAGGGCAGCGGTACTGTGGCCCTGTCTTTCTCCTTGGATTTTGCCTCCTGGCTGTCACCACTGTCATACCACAGCTGTGTTTCCTCTGGCTAATGTGGGCTGAACCCCCTTTCCTTTCCCATTAAAAATAACTTCATGACATCGAAATATTAATGGGAGACAAGAGGGAAACAGTCATTGAGCAGCATAGAGTTAAGTTTGTATCAGTGACTTTACTCAGGGTAACACCCTTGCCCTCAAGCAGGAGTTCTCTACCTGGGGTCTCTGGACTCCCTGGAATTGTATGCAAAATGTCGTATGTACTTTTGTGTCTATGTTTTTCTAGGTGGTGGTGGTGGGGTGGTTTATGGTTTTTATATCCTCAAAGCTCTAACAGAGGCAAAGGACCACTGCTTCATGGTCACTGTATTTTGGCCAAACCAAGATGGTGCCAGGTTATTGGCAGCCTTTGCTGGCCCCACTGTACCAGCTCTGTGACTGGCCCTGGACTTGCAGCTGCTGGATGACTTCTTGTTTTCTGCCGCCTCTGGAATTGGGCTTTGTGCATATTTGAAGATATTGTTGCTGGGTGGTACAAATAGTTAAGCACTTGACTAATAGCAACAGGTTGACAATTTGAACCCACCCAAAGACATCTCTGAAGACAGACCTGATGATGTGCTCCTGAAAGGTCACAGCAGTGAAAACAGGGACAGCTCTCCTCTGCATACATGGGTTGCCATGAGTGTGAAGCAACTCAGTGGCAACTAACAGCAGCCCCACCTTTCACCACACTTACAGACCCTTCCTGCTTCGTGAGTCTCAGAGGTACCAAGCTTCTTCTCCTGCTCCATTCTGGTTTTGGCCTGCGAATGTGCCTCATTCATCCCTTGGGCTCTGGTGAACAAATCGGCCCTCCCCAGTTGAAGTTTTCAACTCTATTTTTTCCTTGCAGCAGCCTGTGAACTTCTCAAAAGAGTCCCCTTGGGTTTGGGAATTATCAGTGGCTTTGCCACCAATTAGTTTGTGATCTTTGGCAGGTAATCTAACCTAGGGACATTGGTTTACTCATTTGTATAGTGGGGATAATAATACCTACCTCAGGGTTGCTACAAAGATTATTTATTGTGTGTAAACAATAAAGCACTATCTATGCCAGTAGTGATAGTTATTGCCTATCGTACCATACTTATCCAGATTGACCATACAATAACCATGACACACTCCATTCTGTGAAAGAAGGGTCATTGCCACACACAGACATCCAATCATAGGTCATCTCTGGGCAGATCTTACTTACCAATTCCTGGATTTGGGAGGCAGGACCTGTGATTTTTATAATCCTTAGGTGTGCTGACCTTACTGATCCAATTGCTTTGATATATGGGAATGGAAAAAGGCCTGTAAGCTTTGGTTTTACTTACTTCACCCTACTCTCTTGAGCTTTATGGGATAGTTCCACTGTGGAGGAGGAAGGGAGTTGAGGCCTCTGGGGAGGGAGGAGAAGAAGTCTTGAAATGGGATGGGGAGGACCAGACCATAGTGGATTGGGAAGCTTTGCTCTATGAACAGTGATTCTGGTTGGAGGAAGATAGCATGAGGAATGTAGAAAAAATGAGGAAGGATGGAAATACATATGAAGGGAGAGGAGCCATGTCTTAGAACTTTCAAGTCCCAGGAATAAGTGATATTGAAGGAAGTTGAAACCAACTCCCAAAGAGTGTTAATGACTGATTGTTTTTATCTTTGGACAGTGGTGGTGTGTAAAGGAAGAGGATCTGTGAACAAGTTGACTGAAGAAGACTGCAGAGTTGGGACAACTATGGTCTTGCAGCCTTCTTGCCCCATACACCTGCAAGGAAGACTCTTAGGAATCTGCTGAGTTGTAGGATATTGAGTAAGTCATAAGGGAGTGGGAGGAAACTTGTGTTTGTGTTTATCTCCAGACTCCAAGGATTACTCACTTTCTGGCCCCCACACAAGTTCCCCGCGTGCTTTTGGTTTTAGCCCCTGGATCATAACTGTGACTCAATTTGTCAGCCCTAACCTGTGGTCTGCTGCTACTAATGTGATCTTTCTGAACCAGCAGAGTGAGAAAGATACACTAAATTGGCACCAGCATGTCACTGGCCCTGATCCCAATGGGAGACAGGTTCACTACCTTCCCAGGAGTTCCCATTCCCCTTCTTTCCCCAAACAACTTTGTTGTTAAGTGCCATGGAGTCATTTCTGACTGAGAGAGACCCTGTATAGTGTTTCTAAAGCTGTAAATCTTTGCAGGACTATAAAGCCTCATCTCTCTTATAGAGCGGCTGTTGGTCTCAAATCACCAACCTTGTAGTTCTCAGTCCAGTGCTGGTTCTACAGAGTCATGGTACTCCCACACGTTGACTAGTGGCCTCATTAATGGTAAGAAAAGGCTCCCATGTTTGCTGGACCCTGACCCTTCTGACTAATCTACTCCTGCAAGGGGATATCCCAACTGTGGCCACTAGGCACAGATCTTCTATCAAGGGTGTAGGGATAAAATTTGTCTCTTTTCGTTGTAGAGACAAGATTGGAGTTTTTAGATTGTTTTCACCAACTGCAATAAAAGCAACAAAGAGATCTTTCTGCAGTTCTCTGATAGTCCTTGGTGGAGCCCAGGGGCGGTTCTCTCTGGCATGTCAGTCCACCTCATTGAAATGCTCCCTCTTTCTACCTGACCCTCTACTTTACCAAACGTAATGTTCTTCTCTAGAGACTCGTCCCTCCTAATACCATGTCCAAAGTACATGAAGCAAAATCTCACCATCATTGCTTTTAAGGAGCATTTCAGCTATACTTATTCCAGGGCAGATTTGCTTGTTCTGGGAGTCCACGATATATTCAATATTCTTCGTCAAAACCCTAATTCTCAAAGGCATGAATTCTTCTCCTGTCTTTCTTATTCACTGTCCAGCTTTCACATGTATATGAGGTCATTGAAAATACCCTGGCTTGGGTCAGGCACACATTAGTCCTCAAAGTTACACCTTTGCTCTTTAACACTTTAAAAAGGTCCTTTTTTGGCAGCAGATACAAGATCGCTATGAGTCAGAATGGACTCGACTGCACCTAACAACAACAAATGCCTAATACAATATATCATTTGATTTCTTGATGACTGCTTCCATGGGCACTGATTGTGGCGGTCCCCACCCTAATATCCACTGAATACGTGACAAACTACCTTAGCAAGTGTCACACTCAGCACAGAAACACAATCCTTTATCTTAGAATAGTGATGTTGTTGGTGTCTGCCAGAGGATGGAGTACCCTCCAGACATCTTCCAGTTCTAGGCCATGCCAGGATCTTCTTTGAACTGATATCTTATCAAACCTGGTATTCCTGTGCCAACCCTCAGCTCTATACCTGTACCAGGATGGACCCTCCTCTACCTCTACCCATACACCTACAGAACCCATCCTCATTGGGTGAGAAAAACCTCTAAATTGTCTTGAGAGCCAGCAGAGGTTGACTCAGGGAAGCCATATTCAGAAACTCTAATCACCTACTCTCTGATGTCATCTTGAGGACTAAGGTGATCCTGACCCAAGCCATGGTCTTTTCAAGAACCTCATATGCATGCGAAAGCTGGACAGTGAATAAGGAAGACCGTAGAAGAATTGATGCTTTTGAGTTATGGTGTTGGAGGAGAATATTGAAAGTGCCATGGGCTGACAAAAGAACCAATAGATCCGTTTTGGAAGAAGTGCAGCCAGAGTGCTCCTTGGAGGCCAGGATGGCCAGGCTTCATCTCTCATACTTCGGACATGTTGTCAGGAGAGACCAGATGAGGATATCTCTAGAGAAGGATATCATGTTTGGTAAGGTGGAGGGTCAGAGAAAAAGAGGGAGATCCGCAATATGATGGATTGGCCAAGTGGCATCATTGATGGACTCAAGTGTGGCAGCGATAGTGAGATTGGCCCAGGATCAGGCAGTGTTTGGTTCTGCTGTGCATAGGGTTGCTATGAGTCGGTACCAATTCAATGGTACCTGGCAACAACTCTGATAGGAGCTCTGGTAGTGTAGTGGTTATGAATCGGTCTGTGAACCTTAAGGTCAGCAGTTCAAAACTACCAGCTGTTCCATGGGAGAAAGATGAGGCTTTGTGCTCCCGTAAAGATTTATAGCCTCAGAAACCCTATACAGGGTCGATATGAGTTGGAACCGACTCCACGGCACATAACCACCAGCACTCTCTTTGAAACCACTGTGGTTGGCATTTCTAGCTGCTAGATGGCGCCCTTGGACAGTTATTGCACTTCGTTGAAAAACAGGCAGGCCAGAGGCAGTGAGCATTGCAAAATGCTCCCATGTGGTCTCCCATCTCTCTAGTAACCAGGCCTGACCTGCTTAGCTTCTGACATCTGAATTCAGGCTGCTATGGCTATATACAATGCCACCTTGCTCTCAGCACCCTAGGTCAAAGTTCTTGGCACAGAGGTTTGTTGCCACAGAAAGGTGCTCAGGCACAATGGCCCATGACTTTCCCAAATATGGCCCTAAGGTGTGAATGTCCTGGAGGTGGGCTTATCTGTGAGGTATCAGGAGCAAGGCATGAGAGTGGGGGCACTGGCTTAGATATTAATTGTTGTGCTATTCTCACACTTGACACCTCACAGGTTGTAGTCAGGTTTCCCAGGGCTGTGGAAGAGCAGAGAACACCTCTTTGAAGAGATTGCTTGCCTTTGAGGTTAGAGCTGTTCACACTTTAATATCCACTGAATACCCACCAAACCACCTCAGCAAGTGTCGTACTCACACAGAAACACAATCCTCTCTCTCAGAATAGTGCTGTTGTTGGTGTGTCTGTCTAAGCGAATGGAGTCCCCTCCAGACATCTTCCAGTTCCAGGTCATGGCAGGATTCT